ACTCACTTGCTATCTCCATCTTCATCATTCACGCGAGGAACAGAATGATGCAGCTGAGGGAGTGGCTTCCAGAGCCGGAGGTATCAACCAGCGAAGACCCCGATCTTTGAGCGACGAACACGAAACGAAACACACAACACACGAGAATGGAGAATGAGATGACAAACTACATAATGAATGAGATGGATATGGATATGAACGATGGACACGATTTCAGTGCGAGGCCTTTTGCTTCTAGATATACCCGGTTATGAGCGCAATACCCCTAGTTTTCTTTTATTTCCTTTGTCAGACTGGCTGAACGACTGATGTCGGGCTTCGCTAAAAGAGCTGGAGACGACGAATACCCCAGATTGCGTCACTTTGCACATGCCTCAACGCAAGCAAGCTTGCGGTGGTTGATGTGACAGAACGAATAAGATGAAATTGATCGGAACAATTACATAGTAATCAAAGCAAAATTTGATATAACATACAATTACACTACTTGTCTGATTGTAACCCTGACTTAAAACTCCACATTTCGTGAGTTGGTGTCTCTTCCCCTTATATCCCCCGGATCCTTTCACCCTGTCCCCGAGGCGGCTTTTGTGCCCTTAGATCGCAAGACATCTCCTATTTCTCCAAGTGTCATGCCGTACGTCCTGTTCGTCGGACCATAGATGCGTCGGAAGATGCCAGGAAAATCCGGATGGAGGGCAGAGTGAGCGTTACCAAGATCAAACCCCGGATAATGGACGTTGGTGTCGATTATGCTATCACTCTCCCAGTACAGCTTCCCCTTAATTAGACATCCTTCCTCGGGGTCCACACCCAACCTGCTTCTTGACAGATCCTCAGATCTTCGAGCTTCTTCTCCAAATCCAACACGCAGTCCCTGCAGTGTCCTGAGAAGATGGTTATGGAGTTGGTGGGGTTTTCGCACGGTAGTCGGTATCTGCTTCCTGGATCTGCGCCACACATGGTGAACGGGTTGTCGTAGACTTGTGTGTTGTGCTCGCACGCGGTGTGGTGGTAGAAGTTGCGTCTGCACATTGTTGTTAGATTGTGAGTTTTGGCGAAGATGTAGGCTTGAAAATGGAGATTTGACTGGGAGATTGGGGACTGAGGAAGTTGTTGGTGTTGTTAGTGATAGCGAAAGACTAGTTAGTAGCAGAGGTTGGAGAATACACGCTATTCAGTCACAGTGAATTCGAGTTTGCTACGTCCTTGTCGTTGTTGAGGTGAAGTGAGAACTTTTCTAGAGCACCTTTGAGTACCCTGCAGCAAGTCATGGTGAAGCAAGATTTTGAGCTGCTATGATCGCAAGACCTTGTAGGAGCCTAGTTGAAGAGTGACAGGTTATGGTATTATCGAAGGAGTGCAAGTACTCAGCAACTGGGGGTGGACAGTTCGTTACTGTCGGCTCCTTGCCAAGGTGCAAAGCCCAGCTCACGTGATGTTTCACTCAATCCGACCTCCATTGTACCAACCTGCACAGCGTGCCCCTTCATACTCGGCGGTTCAACCAAGCTTCCACGCATTCACCTTTCACCCACCGGGACAAGACATCTTATACAATACCAAGAGCCTGGGCAAGCAAGCCCGCTATGCGGTGTCTAGGCTGTAGAATCCGGGGTACAGACGGCTATGTAAACATTTACCGTACGTGATGGCGCACAATATGGCGGGTAAAACGTGATTGGCGCGTAAAGTTCCCCGGATCCCCAGGACTGGCTGCTATTCTCCGGGATACGGGGAAATATCGTGTTGTGATCACCTCGCATTACGCAAGGGGCGCAGCGTACATGTGAAGAGGGAATTGCGGCTGCGGTGGTGCGAACGTGGTGATGCGTCGTTTACGGATATGACAGCCTTATGTGATGACATGCAAGAACTCATTTAGACGTTCTTGGTAACAAGGGGCAGTGATTCGGAAAGCCTGCCGTATATATGAAGTCAGGAGATCGATCCATATTCGCAAGATCTCAAGGACCAGGGACAGTGATCTTGCGCAGCCGGGCTGAGGGATCGAAGAGCTCATTACGATCTCGTAAATATGATTGCGGATTCGTGCTGCCGACATGTTCGCTGATTATGCTGGTCCAGAATGAGCGCAGTAACGGTGAGAAGGAGACAAGCGGTATGCGGCTCAAGCAAGATGCAGGCAAACGTCTCTTGGCAACGCGCTTGGACGCCCCACGAAAATGTTGCGGTCCTTCATCTTTGGCTGTAACATCGCCAACACCTCACGAACTATGCCTGAAGTACTGCATATCCTGCTAAGCTTCTTGGATATCGAGTAATCACCTTAGAATGTGTAAGAGATGCGCCTTTTGCCGCCACTGCCAGCCTTGGAAGCGCCACAGGTGTCACGCGGCTTCACATAGATTACCAACTCACAACTCCACTGTTCGGTGTTCACGCCAAGACGTTCTTTAACCGCAGGAAGATTGTAAAGGCGGAGAGCTTGGCATATGCATGCCATAGAGCTTGGGAGCACACGTGGATGGGTGCTTGCCAGGACAGTCGTAGCGCCGCCATGACCCGAAGCCCACTCCACCACGGAGATATTGACATGTAGGTTAATGACCGCCCGGTCTTGTCCCGTAACCGTTTGTTTCAAGTTACAGACCAATCACACCGGATGCTGCGCCGGCATTTCGCATGCCTTTCTTTCCAGAAGCCAAGCCCGGCATAGTAGTGTTTCTCCTATCGCAGCACTTGATCTACATCCTAGCTGCTAAGAGACGGACGGCCGTAGTGATGGCGAGAATGTTTGTCTTGGTCCCGCCAGCAGAACCGGGGCTACCCCATTGAACCACCAAGCCGCGTTGTGTAGTGGAGCAAAGGCATATAAAGCCATCTTGAGTCGCCTCGTAGATCACCACCACGATCAAACATCTCCTTCGCTTCCTACCACAAGCAACTCATTTTCAAGATGGTCTCTTTCACCTCCCTCGTCACCGCTGCTATTGCGGCCACTGGCGTTTTCGCTGCTCCCGCCACTGATGTAGCTGCTCGTTCGTCTGGTGACCTTGTTGCCCGCCAGAGCACTCCCAACTCTGAAGGAACTCACAACGGCTGCTGTAAGTCGAGCTATGAGGCTTTGTGTGAGCGTTAGCTGATCATGTGTCTAGTCTACTCTTGGTGGACTGATGGTGGCTCCCGCGTCACCTACACCAACGGTGCCGGCGGAAGCTACAGCGTCAACTGGGGAAGCGGTGGCAACTTCGTCGGTGGAAAGGGATGGAACCCTGGATCCGCCCGGTATGTCAACTCAAACAACTGCATGCTTGATGTGACATCTTTGCTGACCAGGTATCAGCACCATCACCTACTCGGGTACCTACAACCCCAACGGCAACTCCTACCTTGCCATCTACGGCTGGACTCGCAACCCGCTCGTCGAGTACTACGTCGTTGAAAACTTCGGGTGAGCAATGTCCCCGCACGGACTGTATGAGAGACATACACTAACACCACAAAGAACCTACGACCCATCTTCCCAAGCCTCGAACAAGGGTACGCTGACCGCCGACGGCTCTTCCTACAAGATCGCCCAGTCGACCCGTACCAACCAGCCATCCATCGATGGAACTAGGACCTTTCAGCAGTACTGGTCTGTTCGCCAGAACAAGCGTTCCAGCGGATCTGTCAACATGAAGACTCACTTTGACGCCTGGGCCAGCAAGGGCATGACTCTTGGTAGCCACTACTACCAGATCGTCGCCACTGAGGGTTACTTCTCCACTGGCTCTGCTTCCATCACCGTCAACTGCCCGTAAGCTTTCCATCGAGGAAGGACTCAAGTTCCTCAAGCGGCGACGCAGATGATGTGATGGTGTGAGGGTGTGATGATGTCCAAGATCGTTCACTTCGCTGGCGACTTCTTTACTGTAAATATTATCTTATGCTGGCTTGCTAGCACGAAAATGTCAAACTTTTGCCATTCCACAAACCAATTCCACATCGCTGTCATTCACTGGTGTCAACTCTTCACGCGCACGACATACTAAAGCAATGCGCGAGACCGAACTTGCTTTCTCATATACATTTTCTGGATATTAGACTTAACAATGTGCTTCCGCCACTGCATACAATACTCATGCCGGGACACACTACTTCGCGCTTTACACCCTATCACGTTATACTCGCGAGCCCAACGTTCCATCATAAAGCGTCAATGCAACAAGGTCGAAGATCGATTCCACCCCGAAAATAGACCGTGTCCAGACTGTCTGGAGAAAGAACAGGACCGTATAAGTAGGGAAGACAACAAAGGCAAGAAAACATGGGACCCTCGTTGGCCAGGTGGCCCGAAATGGTCTGGCTATCGCGGTGTAGGAGGAAAAGATAGTTACCGCGACGATGTACCGCAGTAGGTAGCAGATGTGAGAGACCCGTCTGCGGGGTAAAGTGAGGTTGATGGAAGTTCGTGACGTCTCGATAGCCCTGGAGGTGTCGAAGCGCCCGTCATAGCCACGTCTGCTGGTCAGCTCACCTTTACCTCCTCTCTCAAGCCTATGACAGCTGGCAGGTACAGTAGAGGCCCCACCTAGATCTTCTTACTTATATGTTCCTTCATACAACTACTGCACCTAGTCATCAGCATCCTCTCGACTTCGCAGTTCATATTGCAACCTATAATATCTCACCTCGTCACTTTCCGAAACACAAAAAGAGCTCACGCTATGACACACACATCCGGAAATCTCCAAAGGTCGTCCGACCACTACACTCTGGCGGAGCTTCAAAAAGAAATCGCACGAGACAAAGATTGGCGAGCAAAGTTCCGCTACCTACCCAAAGCCTTGAAGGCCGATCTCAAATTCCATGTAATAGTTCGAACTCAGGGCAAGAGACAGCTGCTCATAGGCTCTCAAAAAAGCAATGAACAAGACCGGGTCTACGCCCGAGTGTACCCTCACTCCGCGAGTGGCCTCCACAATTTGGTGAACGTCTGTTTTCACGGTGGTATTGCAATAGGGATGCATCGAGCGCAGATAAGGAATGACACTATGCTGTTGCAAGGGATCAAATACGTTGAGCCTTTCGACCAGCTGGACAACATTGGTAGCACCAAATGGCGTAAGTCACTACGCTTCTTAGTCTTGTACTACTTCCTCGAACAAGGACTTATCGACCGTTCTGTTTTCACGAAAGATGGGCTAGAGGCCTTGCAGAGAGCATGCACGAGCATCGCCGATGGGCAAATTCGGATTGAAAAAAAGCCAACACGCCCACCTCTCGTCGTTTCGAGACACGTTCAGACCACGGAAGCTCAGAAGTGGCCGAGGTCAGAAGAAGAAGACGAAGACGAAGATTTTGAAGGCCTAATCGTCAAGCGAGAGGATACGCCAGTCGTCCTAGTGAAAGCAACTGAGGATAGTTCTACGCGCGCGGTCAGTACCATGGTGCGAAGAGACGACAACGTTGCCGCAAGGCCTTTCCTGAAGATATTGACCACTCAAAAGAACTCAGAGAGAAGTTACGGACATGTGTCAGCTGCATCTATGTTCGTAGGCGAATCGAAAAGGAAAAGGTCTGCGGATGACCATGTCATGAAAGAGAAGGAGCACGACGGAGAAGAGGATCCGAAGCTGGTGGTAAGTCGCATGATGATCATCTGAAATCACTGAAGTTAACACGACTCCCAGTGTAGCCGCTTCAAGCGCCTAGCACAAATCAAGATTGAGAGCCTCCAAAAGGAAGCAAGTGTGATCCAAGACACGTTAGATGTGCACACCATGTCACTCAACGAAGCTGTAATGGCAGTTTCGAGTTATGAGAAGGCTCTCCTAGTTGCAAAAGCAAGGTTGGAGGCAGTACAAGCTGCAAAGACCGCCACGGAGACAAGACTTGAGGAGGTGCGCAGTGAGGTGACAAAGAAGAGTTGGATATTCCAGGAAGGCTTTGAGTCTTTCTACGATTGAACAACTTGAGGTACCAAAACATTGAAGGCTTTTTACCAGGAGTTTCAGAAAAAAAATACTTTACGGTTGCGATTTTAGGTGTTGGCGTTGGAGTTTTCACGGAGGCTGCGGAAATAGTAACTGATTGTGAACAAAAAGTCTGCGCTCAATCATACTATGGGCCGTGAGCATCATAGCAAGCTGAAATAAATTACAATCACACGAACTAGCCCACCTTACAAGTGCGCGGCGACATCGGTGTAGAGTGGCATCGTACCCGGAGTCGTCGCAAGCGCTTCCTCAATGATAGACAAGGCGAGATCGATCTGCTCCTCTGTAACTGTGATCGGAGGCGCTATCCGGAACACTCCACCAAACGATGCCATTGTGGCCAGCTGAGCCCACAAGCCCATCTCTGCGATCTTTGTCGATACTGCGGCCCCGACTTCCGGTGCACCAACCTTTGTCTTTCTGTCGCCAACAATCTCCATTCCAGCCATTAGACCGCGACCACGAACGTCGCCGATGCAACCGTAGCGTGACTGCAGTTGCCGCAGTCCTGCTTGGAGCTTTACACCGAGCCTCTTGGAACGAGCGCAGAGATCATCTCGCATGACAATCTCGAGAACCTTGTCGCCCACAGCCGCTGGAAGGGGATCGTTGATATGGGTTGTATAGAACAAGAAACCGTTGTCTTTGGCATGCTGGGCGATGGGGTTCGATGTCAAGACGGCACTGAGTGGTATGCCGTTTCCAAGGGTCTTGCTGAGTGTCACGATATCCGGTATCACGCCTTCGTCCTCGGGATGATGTGTGAATGCAAACATGTCGCCGGCTCTTCCAAGTGCCGTCTGAGCTTCATCAACAATCAGAAGCATACCTCGAGCGGCACAGTGTTCCTTCAAGGCCTTCAAGTATCCAGGTGGAAGCTCCAGCATACCGCCACTCGATAGAATCGGCTCAACGATAGCTGCCGCAAGCGAGCCGCAGGACTGTTTGTCTACAAGATCGAAGCCGTAGTCCAATTCAGTCTTCCAATCGTGCGTACCGTCAGCGTGTCTGAAAATCGACCGATAGGAGTTGGGTGTTGGTAGCGCTAGATTCTAAATGTAGGCGCATGAGGTCAGTGTATGTCTCACATGCAGTTAACGCAGATACACTTACCCCAATCATGTTGGGACCGTAGCCTGACCGTCCGGCGTGATACTGAGCACCAAGCGACCCGCCTGTCATGCCATGCCATGAGGCAGCCAGACCAACGATCTCCCATTTGCCAGTGTAGAATTTGGCCAGCCGAATTGCGGCTTCGTTCGCTTCGCCGCCCGTGCTCAGAAAGAAAGCTTTGTCGAGCCCAGCCGGCGCGACGCCAGTCAATCGTTTCGCAAGATTGATGACTGGGGGACTGATCATCCCACTGAAAAGATGATCAAGATGTTGCGCATGATCCGCGATCACTTTCACAACCTCAGGATGGCCGTGTCCGATCAGAGTGCTCATCTGGCCTGAAGTGAACTAAATGCAACAATTAGCGGTGTGTACTTGAGGCTTTCCGGAGCTTGAAGCCACCTACGTCCATCATTCGGTGACCCGATGCTGTCTGCACGTTGATGCCGTCGGTGGAGGTGATGATCTCAGGATGGAATGCGGTCCCATATGTAAGCAGATTGTCGTCCGCATCGCGCTGCAATTGCGTAATGTCGGCGTCTGCGTATGGAAGAGGCATGATAGTGTCTATCTCGCTGCAGCTGTACTGGTCGATGGGACAGATGATGTTTGGCGTTGCTTGTGTTCCCCATGTTGCTGAATAGCTGGGGACTGGTTATATAGACAGTCTTGTATGCAGTCCCAGGCGCCATCCCACGGAACGATACGCACGAAGACGCATTGCTGTGTTTTCCGACGGAGACGCTGGAAGCATCAGAGTAGATACACGTGACCCTATCCCGTCGGAAAGAAGGTGCAGCCATGGAGGTGGCAGGGGATGATAGCGATAAGCATTGAGCTAACTACGGCTGGCGCTTGAGCCACGATGACGACGCGAAACCCGAGAACGCGACCGCGACCGCGCAACTTCGGGAGAAACTGGAATATGCACTTCTACAGCTCAACAGCCGCGCACGCTGCATCGATACACACTGAACCCGAAATTCCATGATCTTCATACAACTCACATCCTCAGCCCGAGCTGTAGTTACTCTCGACCCACCCACCATCAATGGACCATGACGCTTTCGTAACGTGCGCGGCCTCATCGCCGAGCAGGAAAGCGACCGATCCTGCGATCTCCCATGTTTCTGGAAGCTCACGGTTCAAGATACACGGAATGTTGTCTTTATTCAGATGGAATTCTCCAGCGGCCGAGTTGAAAGGCCTAAGTATCGGAAGTCAGTGGCTGTCTCACGCTCAGTCCGTACAGAGACAATACTCACTTCGTCATCATCTCTGTGTTGAAACATCCGCTGCCTACAGTTAGCTCAGGTCGACTTCAGCCATCTAAGTCACTTACGGGCACAGCGCGTTGACTCTGATTCGCCTCGACGCGCCTTCGAAAGCTGCAACTTTCGTAAGACCAATGAGCGCGTGCTTGGCGGCGACGTATGCTGCAAAGGTGGAGATGCAAAGTCAGCGTATTTTTTGTATGCAGTTGGAAAACCTCGGTATTTACCTGACGTGCCAGGCGTTCCGTAGTGGCTCGCAATGCTTCCAACATTGACGATTGAGCCACCGTCCTTGATAACCTTCATTTCTTCTTTCAGACAATGAAAAGTACCGACAACGTTTACATTGAGCAGCCTGGCGAAGTATTCTGGGTCGAGCTCGGTTATAGGAAAGATCTCGCGTTGCTCCACCGCTAGACGACTCGATCAGAAACACATCCAGTGTCCAGAAGGCTAATTGAGCTCACCAGCGACGTTTGCGGCACCATCGAGCTTTCCGAATCTAGCCACAGTCTCCTCGATCCAAGACCGAACACTGTCTAGATTGGCGATATCTACGACGCACGTCCAGTACCGGTCCTTGGCGTCTGGAAGCTCAGCGTCAATCTCTTTGGTGGCTTTGGACAGGTTGTCAACCGACGTTGCCTAAAGTTTGGTGTACGAAGTCAGCACACGGTTCGCGTGTATTTTACTACAGGAACATTACTTACACACATGGATACAGTGGCACCTCGTATCAGCAAGTACTTGCTAACAGCCAGACCCAGTCCACGGCTGGCTCCAGTTACAGCAATGACCCTCCCCAAAAAAGGAAGGGTATTGACAGCATATGGGAGGGTCTTAGCCGTGCCGTTCATATTGACAAGCCAGGCTATGAAAGATATCAGGTAGCATCAGTTCGACAGCAATGTGCCGCTCATATATCTCACGAGTCAACAGCCATGTGCGAACCCTCGTTCAAGGCTGCGGGCCACGAATCGCCAGCACAACCACGCCACATGTTCATATGCCGAGCTCCTAAACTACGTTCCCACATGGGAAACTGCGACCCGTTCGAGCCGCCTGCACTAGATCCTTCAGTGGGTCGCGGAGGTGTGTGCCGCTTCTCATTCGGGAACTCCCCGGAACTAGCGCAATCCATCTGCCATTGCTGCCGGCTGCCAGCTCCACCAGACCGTTATCGCACGCTTTCGTCGTCAAAAGCAGCCTTCGAAGATCCGGTCATTGAGTAGTCGTCTATACGTCTCCCGTAAAATCAATACGACCGCCGACAATGGAACAATGTGCAGCCAGATCTCCTTCTACCATATCTGGAGGTGGATGACGTCGCAGACGTTATCGGTAGATCGAGCGATGCTGGATGTGAATTAGAATGGTTTTATCGGGTTCATGGATGCGGATTGGCCCTGCAGATACCTACCGGAAACGAGCGATGGGAAATGAAAATGCTAGCACCTAGACCTGTTGACATTCACAACCACTCCAGCGGTAACAGGCGATGATGAGGCGCAGGTAGGTTGTGTGATTGGACAGACTAGTTCGGAGGTTATAAGCATGCACCTCTCCTCGACTGTCACCCTGCGTATCTCAACCTGCGCGCGCTTCCTAGAATAGCGAGGATGAGTGCGACGTCAGTCTACATAGCGGCACCACCGCCTGGTCAAATCAGACATACCGTCAACCCTCCGAACCTTCACAGAGAACTGGCCGCTGTTGGAGTCTCGACGACCATTATTGCTCTAGTGGCGGTGATATTACAGCTCTTCACACGAGCTTATGTTACCAAACTGGGAATCCGTCTCAACGATTGTGAGTCTCTCCAACAATCTACCAATTCAAGAAAGTGGTCTTACTGAATCTCGGTGACTAGATATAGTAGTATGTGCAATGGTATGCAGCCTTGCGCTGTTGGGGTGTAATTTTCCGCGTATGTTCCATCGCTACCACTGCACTTTGCAAGGCTAAGCGTGATACAGATATGAAGTCCGGCTTGGGCCATCATATGTGGGAAGTCAAGACGGAAGAGTACATGGTACCTTTCCAGAAAGTGAGCATGCTTGTTGCAGCGTTCCGACTGCGACACTAACGAAACACGCAGTGGACACTGGTCGGCACAACCCTTTACGCGACCAGCATCGCATTTTCAAAACTTTCGATACTGCTGTTCTATCTACGCCTGTCGCCACAAGTATGGTTCCGCACACTGGTTTGGATCCTCGTGGCGGTGGTGGTAATCTACGCCACAGTCTACGATCTCGTCAGTATCTTCGGCTGCAGACCGATAGCCGCGACATGGGATCTTAGACTTCTTCCTGGGGCTACATGTCTTGATCAGTTGACCAAATACATGGCGCTCTCCGTACTGAACATCATAATTGATGTCTTGACACTGATACTTCCGATACCCATTGTAGCAAGACTACAGATGCCGCGGAGACAAAAGATCACTGTTTGCGGTATCTTCGCGACTGGTGGATTGTAAGTCAAACCAGTCATTAAGAAAAGCTGAACTGACCGTACGCGTAGCGTCTGTGCCGTCGCGATTCGTCGAACGACCCTACTGAATCCTCTCATGGTCTCTGCCGATTATACCTGGGAGGCAGTCGAACAATTTCAATGGTGCTTTGCCGAAGTCAATGCTGGCATAGTCTGCGCATGTGCTCCCGCTCTTAGACCGTTCTTCGCGCGCTACCTCCCTAGCCTTCTGAGTTCCCGCTTTCGCAGCAACAACCGGGATGATGCTGGGTCAAATAACGACGAAGTAGCACCACCGGATTCGTACAGTCGATACCATATCAAGGAACCGTATGAGCTGCGGCTACGGGACGATGTATCTGAATTGACAGCAATGACTAAACACAGTGGTGTGGATGATGAGGCACGGCTCTGGCAAGATGCTACAAATCCAGGCGGGAAAACCATCACTACCTGTTCTGTTGCTCACGCTTGTTAACGTTACACCTTAACCGCTCCTTCCATCTTTGCTGTGCCGCATTCCGGGTTCTCGTATCTCTATACTCTTTTGAGGGTTCTCCTGCTACTCCGTGTTATGGTCAAACTTTACAATTGTGTTTTTGACGGCTGAGCTTCAACACCTGATTTGATGCGAGAAATAGAAAACAGACATGGGAGAGGATCATTCGCTTGGTACCTCTATATCTACTTGATGAGGTTCCCTCTTTCGTCATCATCAGTCTCCTCTTCACTGTCTGTTTCATATTCGCTCTCCTCCTCTGTTTCTTCCTCTTCGTCGGTTTCCTCTTCACTGCTACTCTCCTCTTCTTCCTCGGCCAGCCAATCGTCCAGCGTCTTCTCTTTCTGTGGCACTTTACTCGCACCACCCATACTAGAATCTCCGCCCATGCCGTTCAGACTTCGTGGACTCAACATACTGTCTGGCGTCATCCTGCTGCTACCACCTGCTGCAGCGTCTAACCTCTCCGCCGCTGACATGTTCTTCGCGGTCTCGTATGCTGATACGTATGTCGAAGAAGAGTTTGAGACGACCTCGTCGCGTAGAGCTGGATCTGGTTCGTCACCTTCTTTGACCCAACGGGGCAGATCCTCATAGCCTCGTAGACCACCTACACCGCCTTCGTCGCCGATGACGAGACTAGCGCTGCCGAGCACGTAGCCCTTTCTGGTCTCACTTGGGCTGGGAATGTGTGGTACTGGCTTCGGCGCGAGAAGTAAGAGCGAAGCGAGTTGTGTCGATGTTGGTGTCGCTAGAAGTGCTTTGTAGACGCGAGCGCGGTCGCGGAGATCGTACGAGGTGTCGTACCTCACGAGCAGGAGAACGTAATTGTATAGAGCTTCAATAATGTGTGGTTTCTCCTCTTCAGGCTCCGCGTTCTGTGGGGCGGACTCAAGATGCTCGTCCCTAAAGCCGCCTTGGTCTTCTTGAAAATCATCCATGAGCGACGGACTCGGTTTGGGCTCTTCCACTTTCGGCTCTGGAGGAGGGTTTGCAGTCAAGTGATGTACATAGACCTTCGCTGCCAACAGTACGATTTGGAGCTTTGCCGGCTCAGCTTCATCCGCGAAGCCTTTAACAAGGATACGTAAGACATCAGCAGCGATGTTGTTCTCTGGGTCGATCCCTGCAAACTCTCCGACCAGCCATATAATGCTTGCTCGTGCCTGAGGGCTCGTTGCTGCGTCCAAATGTTTAGCTAACCGGACTACAGTTGTTCGGTGAGCGTTAGGATCTCTTTGGATCAGATGTCGGATGACTTCCAGCGATTCGGCTACCAGATGAGTGTCGGCAGATCCGATGTGCTTTAGCAACAGCTTCAGACATCTTGCGGAGGTCTGTGGGCTTGTTGCAGGGCTCTGCGAGCAGCGGCCGATTGCGCGCACTGACTCCTTGACCAATGCTGGATCCAAGCTTCCAGAATGGGAGAAATGGCTCAACTCAGCCAAGATCAGGCTCTGTAGTCTTAGAGGTGCATGAGGGAATATCAGAGTAAGCAGTTCCAGTTTGAGCTGCCATATATGTGGTGCATCGGTTGACCGCACCAAGAAATGTGTGTAGTACTTGACGAATGGCTCCGGGTGTGTCAGGCAGACTTGCACGATATTGTACAGTGCAATGTGCTGAATGTCTCCTGCAGATCTCAGGAGAGATATCAGCGGGCCAATGGCCTGCGTCAGGTACTCCGGGGTACCAAGATACAAGTACGTCCTTGCCACCGCTATCACCACAGCCGCGTTCCGAGACTGCAAGAGTGACTGGCAGCCTTTCAGCAGCAGTTCGAGGTCGGGATCTAGCACAGCAATTTCCTCCATATCCTGTTCTTGTTCCTTTTCCTCTTCTTCCGAGTCGCTTTCCGAGTCGTAGAAGCCTTTCGTCGACTGTGTAGGTTTGCTATTGGTGCTGGCCCCAGCTGCCTTCTTGACCTTCTTTGTCCGGCGCGGAAAGCATTTTCTTGCATATATCATCATGAGCCGCAGTGTAGCCAACTGCCCCCACTCATCCATGTCGACAAGTTTTCGTACTAATGAGCGGTAGTGCGGATGTATGAGATCCAGACGTTCAGGACATAGCTCCAAGAAAGACGATACAGCTGCGCCCGTCACGAAGTACTGCTTGTCGCCCAGTAATGTCGAAAGGTATTCCAATAGCTGCGGCTCGGTGTTTGGATCCAGCCTGTAGCACTTTGGTATCGCCAGAGCTGCTGCCCTCCTGACATATGCTGACATGTCTCCAGAACCGCGCTTTATGCCCAAGCTCACAATCTGGCTAATCACAGGCACCCTTATACTCGACATGACGCGTAGGGCGAGGGCGCGAAGCTGAGGATTCGTGTCCGTGAGCGACTTCTGGATCGTATTGATGGAGAGGAGCGCGGTGTCGGGTTCGTGTTCGGCATGTTGGAGGAGGTAGATGTAGACAAGCTTCTTGACCTGGAGCGAGGGGGATGCGACGTTCTTGATCACGTGGGAGAAGAAGGGCAGCGTTTGCGAAGGCGGCTGTCGGTAGGACATCTAGATGCACTGTAGTCAGTTACTACACGTCCCACAGCGTCCAATGGGCTGGTCTCGGGACCGTGGCGGGGCCTTCCTACAGTGACGACTCTACGCAGTCCTTCAAGCACATCGCGCTCTGATCTGCTGTCAAGGAGCTTCTTGAGCTGGCCCGAGGGCAACTCTTTTGTCGGCGCTCGGCGGACATTGCTGGCATCGCGGGCGGCTTCGAGGGTGAGGTCGCGGGCTGCAGAGAGAGACCAGTGAGCGAAGTTCGAGGGATGCATGACGGCGGCACCAAGCAATTACATGTTCAGAAGGCCTACAGGCCAGATTGAGGAACAGAAAACGGGCAGCAGATCTGTATGAAAAATGTGTAAGGCGCCATACCTGTCTCCAGCAAGCTCGATATGCGACTGATGGACTCCATGACCGCGACTTGCGCCTGGGACAGCGCTTCGGTCCGGAGCGTGCGCGCTTCGTCTCTGCGCACAAAGGGGAGGGCGACTATGCAGAGTCAGGTAAGGTAGGGAGCAGGTTCTGGGCCTGGAGATCGTGATTGAAAGTCGCGGCGTGCATGCCCTGGGTGTTCTGATGGATGGCCAACGGACGTGGTGGGGTGGCCCGGGGCGCGGGTATTGCCGCCGATTGGCACCTCCACGCCTGTCACGTCCAGCCCAAGCTGTGCTCCCCGAATGAGTATACCGATGACAGCCAGCACCGACACATGACAGCCGACAAACTTTCCACAAGTAGCCTTTCTGTCATGTCGCCAGCGCCCGCGCCAACAGTGCTCTACCCGCTAACCCTCCCGGCCTTGCTTCGCTACCTTCTCACTACGCAGTCAGAATCATGTCCAACACTACTGATCATTTGCTCGAGTCGGGATAGCTTCCTCCAAGATCTTGCAACATCACTGCACAGTCACAGTGAACATGACGCGGATGGTCTGGAGCAGTTGGTTGCGCCAACCCTTCAAAACTTACTCACGACACGGCATGTCAAACTTACATTCTGCGCGTCTGTGCAGGCCTTGTTAGCCTACTTGACCGCATATGGTCGGGCTGGAACCAGTGTCGCTACCGAGGCCGAGGAGGAGGAAAGAGTCGTCTTGGTGAATCCACTCGCTTTGCATGCCTCAACATCTTCCTTCTCGGCCCAAGGCCTGTCCAGATGCTTCTCGGCGGCAGCAGAAGTCGCGCTTAAACAAGGTGTAACACTCCATATCGCTGAGTGCGAGGGTAGGCGCGAGCGTCAAGAGCCCGAGAGTGACGACACAGACATGGAGAGTGATGCCCAAGAGCCCTCCGCGGAAGCACGCATGACAGATCCATGGGAACAGGATATCTCCATCTTGAGTATCTCGGCTCGGAAAATCGGATCTGGAAGCGGCGACCGAGCATGGGCAGGTCGTACGGTCAAGGCGAAGACGATAGCTGCCAGGTGGTTTCGCTTCTACAATATCGACGAGCAACAAACATACGCAGACCAAGGATGAAAGACAACACGCTCTAGTGACCAACTGTGAAAGATTTCTGCTGTTCAATTCGCCGTGTGTGAGCCATCAAGCTGGACTGTTGGGCCCATCTAGATGGTCGGCCGTCGCTTCGTTACTTCGTGGGAGCTTAAGCTACCCTGGATATCCATCGCTTCCAATCGAAAGAAAATGACACCTGCTACATCGATACATGAACGTCCCCATCAGCCAAACGCATGCGATCGCAAACTACCAGTCCTTCTTGATGTCGAATGACCACTTGAACTGAAGATGGGTGTGGTTGTCATCGTCGACGAACTTGGAGACGGCGGTGTAGTGGCCACGGCCGAGCATACCGGAGGGGGCAGTTTCAGGTTCGACTAGAATAGGCATTAGCGGGTCGTGAAAGATGACATCGCCTTGTACATACACTTCTTCTCGTAGTATGGCTTCTCCTCGGTGCTGGGACCGTATGAGCCCTGTCGTGGTTGTTAGTGCTTGCTCAGATGCTCTCCTGTAGTAGATATGCTTACCATCATCTCCTGGAGCTTCTCGCTAACACCCATGCGTGAGACCTTCTGGAGGTACTTCAGACCAGACAGGATATCGTGTTGCACCTTGAACTGTGCCTTCATGCGGAACCGAGCACCTTCCTTGATGGAGAAGGGCTTTTTCTCAAGAGCCTCGACGGCACCGGGGGCGCGTAGGTCGATAACGATATCATCACGGCCTTCGACTTCGAGAGCGAGAGAGAGGATGATGCATCGGCGAGGGTCGTTGGGGTCGGAGATGTCCTTGCCTTGTCCAAGACCAAGGGAAGCTTTCCACTTCTGGAGGGACTCGTCGTTCTGGTCTGTCGCCGCACGTGTTAGCCATGTGTGCAGGCGACTACCTAGGTAGCTCCCCGGAGAAGTTGTGGAACCTACCCAGCTGCTGGTACTCGTCAATGGTCTTCTTCTCGCCGACCTTGAAGCCCTCGGTCTGCTCGGCGTGGAGGTCGTCTGCGTGGTCGGCCATGGCTGGTATCGGTGCGTACTGTGGAGGTGAGGGTGGATGTTTAGGGCAAGGCAACAAAAGAAATGTTGTGGAGAAGTCAAAGGGTCAATTGTAGGAATGAGGGGCGCGGCCTCGTGTTGAGCCTCGCGGTTAGCGGGGCACATTCACCGCTTCAGCACGTCGGCGCGTCTGATTGGCTGCGTTCCTGGTGCTTGCGGGACCCTTCAGATATGCCGCAGCTGTCCAGACTCTTGCTGCAACACGACCATGTTCGCCATGGTCCTGTCCTCAGGCAGAGAAGATTCTTGACGTGTGAACTGTCTCATGGTCGAGCATGGACCAGACCCCTCTTGTTCTTTTTGGAACAGGCCACTTGTATCTGCAGGGTCGCGTCGCATGCGCGCCCACGGGTGGGAGCTTCTACCAGACTGACAACTTGTCGGTAAGCTCTCGAGCTGGAGCTGGAGCTTCGTGACGTGGTTAGCGCTATCGGTGGTAGCGTATGCATCCCGTCCCGGAGATATAATACTAAAGGAATGGTACCAGGTGATGCCCGGGCAAACAACCGATGTGGAACAGAAATCGTCTTTGTAGCTGGTTTGCGAAGTGAGCATACCGTCACTTTGAGCGCCCCAAGTAGTTGTGAAGAGGTATTGCCGCGCGCGACCAATGAATCACGAGTCCAATTAGCCATCCTAGCCGCCGACATCCTCTCTAAACAGCATCAATTGAGGCTGCATTGATCGAGTTGAAGCATTGCTCGCCGTGTTTGGATGTGGAAGGGAGATGCCGTCCTCAGCAACGCGTCACGAGAGAAGAGCGGAAACGCGTGACTTTGGGCGCTTTCCGCATTGAGCCCGTGGAAAGACAGGCGACGCTTCTTCGGGCCTGCTATGCCATGACAATATCAGCACGGCCAATCGGTAAGCACTACCAGCATTGCAAATACACTAGAAAGGGTTGCCGCGAAACTTTTGCGTTCGCGCAGACCTGTCCGGGGTGGCTGGGGGTCTTCGTTCTGGGAGCGCTAGTGCACAGGGATAGCACCCATCGCTCCTTCCTGTCCGCCTCCGTCGCATCGCACCACCTTTCATCACGTCGATCGCGCGCTTTCACCACGCCCTCGCCCACGTCGCCATCCCGTCTCGATTCGACACTCAGCTGTCTGCACTCGTCGCGCGACTCGGTCCGCCAGTACATTGTTACTGACGATTGCGCGCGTCATACGTGGACGGAACCGTCAAATCTTCACGCAACCACCTTTGCGCTGCGCGCTCCATTCATCGCCAACACGCGTTATATTGCTACGCGCACATCAGGCCAAACTTCAAGACCTACCGGCAACACCTCCAAAATGGTCTCCCACCGCAACCTGCCCGAGAGGAAGAATCCTCTTCTCGAGCCCACCGAATCCACAGCCAGTACGTATACGTTGCGCATCGCGTCTTTGCGACCAGTCATCTAACCATTGCGCGCAGTTGAGATTCTCATCGAGAGGCGCCGACTAGGACAGACAAACCTCGGCGTAAAGCCCGGCGTCAGCGGTCTTACCAATGCGACCAAGCCGGAGAACATGGGCACGTTTGATTACGCGCATCTGAGGGTTCCACTGCCAAAGGACTTGACAGGATCCGGCATCTTCACATTGAACAAGACCTCGGCTTTCCCCGAATCTTACTTTCTGATGGTACGCGTTATGAAAAAAGAAGCCGCAAGATTTCGCTCAGGATGCGACTAACACGACAAACAGCGACGAAGCAGCGATGGCTACATTAGTGCGACAGGCATGTTCAAGGCTGCATTCCCTTGGGCTTCGGTCGTAGAGGAGGACATGGAGCGCAAGTACCAAAAGACATTCCCTTCTGCAGGCGCCGAAGAGGTTGCTGGAAGCGTATGGATTGCGCCTGAAGAGGGTGAGTAACTTACCTTCACCTGTTCTCGAGAGCTCGCGCTAACTAAAGGTCCCTCTAGCTCTCGCGTTATCCGATGAATATTCTATGCGCCATTGGATTGAGGCACTTCTAGACCCCGCGCCGATCGAAAAGGGCAACAAGGATAAATCAAACACGCATATCCAAATGCCCCCAAAGTTTGACGTCGCAAACGCCACACCCGTCACTCTCCCCGCACCCGGTCTTCGCACAACTCGCGCCCGCTCGGCTCGATCTGTATCACCTAGCCGAGGCGCAACCCCCAGCAGCCGAAAGTTTGCGACTCCACGAAAGTCGCGAGCCACAAGAAGCGCGATGAAACCTGACCTTACCAAGGCCGAGGAGGCTGTCACCCCATCGAGCGCTCTGCAAGCAATCATTGCGAACGGTACCACACCTTCTGAGTCAGTCGCATCATCTGTCGATGGCGATGTGAAGGAGAAGGAGGCAGTTTCTGAGCCTAAGACCGAGCACGACGTCAAGGAGGGCACAGTTCACATCGAAGTCGAGCAGACCGTGGAGACAAACGGCGATACTGAGAAGACCAGCACCAACGTCACTGTCGATGTCCCGCACAGCCATGCTGCGCTTCCCGAGCCAGAAGATCCTACCGCCATGATCGAGGAGGCCAAGCGCATGGTCGCAGAAGCACAACGGCTAGAGGGCGACTCGTCGGCCAATGTCACCAAGTCGACAAAGCGTGGCATCGAGGACGTTTTGGAGGCGGAAGAACTTGCCGACGAGCGTATGAGCAAACTTGCAAAGGTTGCTTACACCACCGAGCAGAAGTTGACCAAGGAGAAGGTCACACGGAGAGCACTTGTTGGCATGGGTGTCATGGCACTCATAGGGTATGTCTCCACCTAACGCATCCAAATATGAG